GTTCATGGGCTAAAGTTGAAACTGTTTTTCCGAAATAAATTGCGTACATATCTGGGATGCGTACTTAAACGGATGCGTACTTAATCGGGAGGCTACTGTACAGATGTTTTGTGAACTGTGTGTGGGTAACATTGACTTTATATCTTGCATAGTTTATATCCCTTATATTTGTTATATTAGAATTAGAGGCACTGACCAGTTTAGGGAAGGTTTGAGGCCTATTGGTCATAATAAATGTCACTTCAACTTTTCCTCCTCGTTCGCGTAAATCAACGTCTCGCTGGAAGTGAGCAACATGCGGGGATGTGTGTTACTCGATTTAAGTCTTCCTAAGTGAGAGCGTGTATACGGACGGGCGGTTCCCATTAATAAGGGTTGAGATCCCACGCAGGATCGGCTTTTGTGTCCCTCGCAAAGAAAGGTCGAGTCCCAATCGACACAGGGTCGCCTACTAGAGAAAAAAAAATTCTCTCGTACCTTTTCGCAGTCGAAGTAAAGGAATCCAGCCCCCAAGGAAACGGCTTTCATCAAGTGGGTGGACCCATTATTCAGTTTGTTGGCTGTCAAGATCTAAATATTGTGAGGCCTTAAAGTCATGATAGATTCAAAAGTGTACGACGTGAGACTGGCAATAACAATTATGAGCATCGGAGATGCCAATGCGGATACGATATCCATGCGTGCTGGGATGGAAAAACGTCGAAGGATTATACTGCCCTTGTTGAATTTAAAACTTTAAGTGCTTGAAACGCCCCTTGAAAAAAGACCTGGATTCGAGACATGATCGCATCAAGGTATGGCGTAGCTGGCACACCATAAAACACGAATCACCTGGAAGCCAGAAACATCAGGTTCCACGCCCTCTTCATCAATTGGAGCTTAAGCGGGTCATGAACCTAGCTCTTCTAGAAAGTAGACAAGCTTTGCGCTACAGAAGTTGCAATAGATGTGGTGACTAACATGGAATGTTCGAATTAATTGCCGCAATGACATTGATAAATTCCTTGAGCTAAGCCCAAACGGCCAGCATAGTAGCGAGATACGGTCTCCAGAGTGTAACTCCGACAAGACATATAAGTACATCTGTAGACTAGTATTCTTGTTGGTATATTAAAATTCCTAGAGATGATTGTCTTTTGAGCCTACAGGATTTAATCCTGTGGCAAAAATTCACATTTGCTTGATCGCGCGGTCCCCCCAGACATAATTCTGTGAAGAGGTTCGAATAAAAATTGCAAGTACAAAAGTTTGACTCTGACTCAATAAAGAGCAACCCTCATGTCGAATTGTAGCGGCACTGCTGAGTCGGGACTGATGTGTTTGCGGCAAGAATGCAGCAGCTATAAATACCTGTGGTATTTCTGGGTCATTCAACTCTTCCTGCATTACATTTGTATAAAAACTCATTATCCGGAAAATCTATTCTAGATATATCTGCAAATAGTTGCAAGACACTTTAGCCATAAGTTACCGGACGGCACAGCTGATTACGCTGAGTCACGGATAAGTCCGTTGTTGAGGAAACTCGCAGAGCACTGAATGTGAAGAGTTAAACGGCAATCTTTAAGGACCCCAAGGATTCTATTTTAATCAATTGAAGGTAGTATATTACGACGTGGTGTCAAGTGACCCATTTTCCCCTTGCCCAGGATCGGGGGGGGGG